GGTACAGGGGGCAGTGCGGGTACAGGTACAGGGGGCAGTGCAGGTACAGGTACAGGCACAGTGGACAGTGCAGGTACAGGGGGCAGTGCAGGTACAGGTACAGGGGGCAGTTCGGGTACAGGTACAGGGGGCAGGGGGCAGTGCAGATACAGGCACAGGAGACAGTGCAGGTACAGTGGGCAGGGGACAGTGCGGGTACGGGGGCAGTGCATGTACAGGTTGATGTGGACATCATTGTTCATAGTGTTACTTTTTATTCCTCATTCTGATATCCCAGTCTCCTTTTTAATCCCTCTCTCTGCCCTCTCCTCAAACTGTTGTCTCTTCTCTGTAGTGTTTGTGGTCTCAGCATCTACCATGGGCTTCCCTTTTTGTTGTCTTATTGTATATGTTTTACCATCTGGAAAAGGGGAGGGTCTGGCTTGAAGAGTTCCACTCTTTTTCCTTATGGGAACATGTTCTGAATCATTTCTGCATCCTTTTTAAAACGCTTCCCAACGCTCTGAGACTGACTTGCCTTCCTTGTAGCTGTTTCCATTCCATTTTGCCAAATCATATTTCAGCTCAGTAAAAACTGGCCTTTTCCCAACATTAAAACTTGTCAGCTCTCTTTCTTGTTGTCCTTTTCTGTGTCTCTCTGAAACAGCTGAGAGATGGCCTCAGCCTCAGAATGGTTTTCCTACTGCGAACCCCTTCAAGCCTCATTTCCCAGAACTGCACATTCTCTTGCTGCTTAAACCCTGGCTTTTAAGAAAAAGTTCTCCTGAATTGATTTTAAGAATTCCGAGACCTCTAGACACTTCCTATTGATTCTTTCTCACTTGGGAAACACAGTTACCCTTCTATCATTCTGGGAAAGCTGTGACCCAGCAGGAATGTGATGCTGTTCTTGTCTCTCAGTCCAGTTATTACATTTAAGGGGGAAAAAACACACCATTCTATTGTTAACCTTCAATGAGGATGAAGGAGGTGGAAGAGGGTTCAGGGTTAAGGTCAGGGATGTGGGAGAACCAATTGTGTTGGATGCAAATTGTGCAGCGGTTAACAATCCCTCGAATGCAATGCCATTCAAACTGGAAGTAACATGTACAGAGTCAGAAAGCTCTTGCACTGGTCTCACAAATGCAAATTTGTTACATGTAAAAATTAAAAACACAGAGACACTTACTCTGCCATCCTCGAATTCCGCTTCCAGGTGCCTGTCCTTTTGGCCCCAGATAACATGTCCCAGGTCAGCTTGGAAGAAATAGACCAGAGCAGCCAGACAGGCGAGGGAAGCAAGCAACAGTCCCTCAGCTCTGCGAGTTAACCTCCTCATTTCCCCCTTCCTTCAGAGACCAGCAGTGAGCAGCAGGGGCAATGCACAGAGGGGAGGGGAAAAGCGGAGCTGTGGAGAACTCCCAGTCAAGTCCTGCACTCACAGTCCGTGTCCTAATTCCTTCTCTTCGCTCGGAAATGACATGCCCCGGGGATTCTCTCACTGGGAGGGATGGTACTTTTGTTCCTGTGCAGATGCAGCGTCGATCCCAGCTCAGGGCTGTGGCCCCCCGGCTGAGTCTCCCACCCCATTGAGTGTTAGCTCCGGCCAGAAGGGCTGTCTCACTGTGTGTGTGTGTGTGTGTGTGAGAGAGAGACAGACAGACAGATCTGCTCATGGTCTAACTGCAGCTCAGCACCCCCTACAGCGCACTGCACCGCTCTACAGCTCCTTCCAAACACCACCCACCACCAATTCCCTCTCCAAATCTACCCACCATCTCTCACCCTTCCCACCCTTCCATTCTCAGCCCAACACCATCTCCCTCTGCATCTCCTTCCCTCCGTTTCCACGGTCCTCTCTTTAGCTCTTGTACCCCAGTCTGTCACCTTTTGGGGTCAGAGGATAAACTCGAGTCGAAGAGGGTGACCACTAAGTTGGAGGAAAGTCAGGCAGGTTCTTTCCGCGAACCCCCCCCCCCCCCCAGTCAATGCTGAACTCAGTCAAAATCACACAAATTTAAAAAACCCACAGAATTTCTGCTCACTTTCACACAGCTGTTCGTGGGATCTTGCTATGCGTAAAATCGCCTCTTCTATTGCGATAGGAGTCGGTGTGAGTAGAAAAGTCACCGCAGACACCAGACCCCACAGCCCCACCTTATCCAAATACCCTCACCCAGATATTCCCCCCCAAAATACCCCCACCCAGACATATCCCAAGCCCACACCTAGACGCCACTTCATCCAGATACCCCACCTAAAACACCTAACCCACCCCTCCATGGGTTGCACAGCCCATCCAGATATGGCCCCACACAAACAGAGAAGCCCTGCAGACACCCCACCCACTCAAACACAGACATCACCCAGACACAACACCCACACTCAAACACAAGCCATGTAGTGACTGTAATGAGGTCAGGCAGAAGGACCTCATAGACTATGAGTTCCCTGATTGGGACTGTTGACCTGGTCCAATCAGGGAGCCCTGGCTGACTGATATAATCAGCCGTGTCAGGGGAGCTGACACTGTAGAGTCTGACAGGCGGCTCTGATGGCGTTGGATCACGGACTCTCCGTGTGTAAATAAATGTGACAGGATAGCAGCCTCTGTGGAGTTATTTTAGTGGCAACGAGAGAAAAAAATATGCTCCTGAAGAAGTTTGCTCACAACGGTCTTCTTTGAGTTGGGCTAAGCATGTCTGGCATCACGCTGTTATTTGGGGAGGTTGACTCATTCGATCCTGCTGTCAAAGGCTAGGCCCAGGACGTGGAAAAAATGTGTTTTCTTTTCTGTGCAAATGACATTGGGGCAGATGAAAATCAATGAGTAATTCTCCTGACAGCTTGTGGAGCTGCAGCTCTTTTTGTTATTAGGAGACTTACTTTCCCTGAGGCACCAGATACGAAAATCTTTCAAGAGTTGACTGACTTAGTTAAGGAATATTATGACTTCAATCCTCCTCTAATTCTGAGATGTTACCAGTTTTACTCGGCTGCTTGAGAACAAGGGGAAGCTGTACCGGGATTTTTAACGAGGATAAGACGACTGCCAGAGGCATGTGACTTGTTTTAACTCTTAATGAGAGACTGTTTGGTATGTGGGATTAATTATGTCACCGTGTGAAAGTGCCTACTAGCTGAAGCCCACTGGACTTCGAACAGGCAGAATAATTGGGTTTGTCGTTGGAAAATGCAGCAAGTAGAGTGTATGAGTTGCAGGATATTCTGATGGAAGTGGACACTCTCGCCCAGTCTGACTGAGATTGGGGAACACCACCTGAGTGCAGGTAATTTCACAGCTTCACTCAGGACATTTCCTGAACAGAGGGACTCTAGGTCAGCCCACAGCAAAACCCCAAACCAAAGCCAAACATCGTCCAAATGGTTAACATTTTCTTCAGCATCTGGGCTTGCAAACCATTGTATTTGCTGCCGGTATGCAGACTCGAGACAGTGAAAGAACCCCACTTGATCTAAATTGAGTAAGAGAACTCACAGGCTGGTATCCAGGAGAATGCACACCCTGGGATGTCCAACTGGTTTGGAACAGCTAAGTTGCTTGGCAACATCCAAATCAGAACCAATCAAAATAAACATCCGGTTTAATGGTCATCCAGTTCTAATGGAGGTCGATAGTGATGCAAGCTGTATCAGTGATCGAAGAGTCAATTTTTAACAAATTTCACTCTGGACTCCAAACCTTAAGTTTGTGGAAGTTTCTGATGAAGGGTCTCGGCCCGAAACGTCAGCCTCTCTGCTCCTATGATGCTGCTTGGCCTGCTATGTTCATCCAGCCCTGCACCTTGTTGTTTGTGGAATACCTCAGCTAGACTGACAACCTCTACCAGGGAACCTTTACAGATAATGGTACAATTTTGGTTCCAGTCTCTTATGAGAAGCAGTTGGTTCAGTTACCACTGATTGTAGTAAAAGGCTCAGGCCTAAGCTTGATGGGGCAAATTTGGTTGAGAGACATTCCCCTAGATTGACTCAAAGTTTTTTGATTAGAAAATTGCTGCCTGGGTGAACTCCTAATTAAATACCCAAAGTTTTTCA